GAACAAGGAGACATCTGGTCATTATTGGCTATTTCCTAATAATTGACAATACTAGATACAACCTAATGAGAGTCACAGCTCTTCCGTCGGTGAGAGGTGGTGTTGTGCGCTCGTTGTTGGTCCCAAAGAATCTACTCGCAGTAGATTACAATAGCTTACATTGTAACGTTATAAACGTCACATCTCTATTAATTTATATTTAAATAATTATTTCCTTTTAATTTCTTTGGTAATTTGTTAATTTGTTTATCTTCAGTTTAATTTTTACTATTTTTTTTTTATTTAAAAAGTAGTTGGCGCCCTCTCTGTTCCTCTCTATTTCTTCCCCTGTTTTCATTTCTTCCTCTGTCATTATTTACTCTCTCTTTCTGTCACGTAGAATAAATATCCGCCCTCTCTCTTTGTGTTCTGTGTTGACAGACAAGCTAGTTTCATGAAATAGCAACATCCTGTGACATATGTGCTAACTTCATTTTACTCTCCCACTTTGTGTCAAGACAACTCTTCTAATGTAGTGGGAATGTAATTTTTTGCCTGCTTTTGAACTTAATAAAAGAAGGCAAAAATTATAATTAGACTCATTTTATAGTCTACAAATTCTCTTGAGGTAAGTACTTTCATTGTGATATTTATTCTATAATTCTGACCGCATTTCCGATATTTGTAACCTTACTTTCTTTCGAAAGCACATTGTTTTTTTTATATATGCATTAGGACTCTTTAACAGAATTTAACTAACAATCATAGTAACAATCATATTTCATTTTATCCTTGCCATACGCTATTTGTTTAATTGTAACTTTGTAAGATGGCAGGGAAGTAAAACCTTTCGTCTTCATGTGTTTCTAATGTAAGCTGCTTTTCATGTTTTAGTTTATTGGGAAGAATAATTTAATGACAATTTTATTTGGCATTTATTTATTGGATTTATTGGCATATTGACAACGTTGTTGGCTTTATTGGACTTCTACTGGACAATTTAATCAGAACATAGGACCACATGTAACTGCAGCTCTCCAGAACTACAACATTCAATTGGAGGATCTAGCAGCTAGAGCACACAAGTAGCCCATCGAACGACGCAATAAGTATTATATCAATTGTTAAGCTTTGGCAGGGTTAATTATTGTGTTTTTTCTATTCTTTTAAATAAATGTTTGGTTAAAATTTGTTTTATTTGCTATCAACTGAGAACTCCGGTTCAATCCCTATTTTAAGACAAGACGAACTCACCCTTGAGATACTCAGCTAGGCAAGGTATAGACGATAAGCTCCCATGGTTGATTGAGGTATTATTTTTACAATAGTACTTCAATTCTTTTTGGTAGTTTTATCGTTACAACATTATTTTGAAGTGACATATGAAGATGAAGGGAGGTGTATAGAATTAAACAAAGGAGAGTTGGCATGTTCACCAATGGGAATCATTAATATGGATACTCAGCCAAACTATATCTTAAATGAATTATATGATAGAACTACCAACACCACTTGCAATATCATAGAATACACCATAAAGAAAGCCAGTTGGTTGAAAATAAGCACACCGAACCTCTGGTGTGTCTAATGTGAGATGGTTCTCGATTTGAATACATAATCAATCAAACGAGTTTTATAAAATTGTCACCAAAATGCGTTGCTCATACTTGAAACATAACATTACTCATATCCAGTAATGGATTGGAAAAAGCAATTGAAAGTTATTTAAAGACTTCCGTCAGTCCTATTGAAGAGCTTGTACAGAAGCCAATCATCAAACAGAACATTCCCAGACATAATATAGATATTCGGGGAGACTAGTTGCCAAATATTGTACTTGAGGCAGAGCAGTTTGACCAAGATATATCCGAACACACGTGAAAAACCATTGCTAACCATCAGTGGATTCCTCATTTAACCACGGGACTAGTCACTATATTCATTGTTATGTTGATTATCATTATATGGAAGGGAGTCATATATTTTCGAAACTCCAAGAGACCCATAAAACAAAGGCATCAAGAGCAAATACGTAACATGTCGGGATAGTATTATGAGGTTTTTTTCCTGATTTTTCCCTCATAATTTACTATGGAATTACTATAGTGTATTTTTATGTATGAGAGAGTAATAAAACAATAAATTATGTATGCAAATCCCTAAACTGTTGATACAGGTGACTCAATGAAAAACAGATATTTGTCAACAAGTTTACAGAAGTATATAGGAAAACAATTTTAAATTGAGTATGACCACCAGGTATAAAGGTTGGAGCAGAATAGAATACAATAGTTGTGAGGGTTACTAATCCCTAAATAAGGTTGCCAGCGTCGGAGTGATGGAGGTTAACAGGTACTAATGAATTTGCAAGAAATGTAAGATGTTTATTTTATTGGTTAAATACCTACCTATTTGCAAAATAAAGTTTAATTCTTTAGATAAAATAAAACGTTTTATTTTATCTGAAATGAGTGCATTCCACGAAGTAAGGGTTTCAACAATCAAACATTTAATTCTTTAATTCCAGGAATCTACGACAGTAATTGACTAGATAATTACCTTCTAAACTTATTCCACAGAAAATGTGATAGTGGGTTTTTCCATTTTGTAGGAAGGTCCAAGTGGCGTATTCAAAATTCTTAACAGTTCACTAAAAGTAGGTACTTCAGTTGCAAGGTGCAGTTTATTGTGTATACTAGTGTTATGGAAAATTTGGAAGTGCCGTGTAAACGCCGAAAAATTGGTCCTTTAACAGTTAATGAAAAAACATTAATATTTAATTGTTTTAAATCATTTACAGACAAACGTTTATGTGAAAGTGTTGATGAGACTGTTGAGTTAGTTAGCAGTACACTTGGTGTTGGGAAATCTACGATTTAGACAGTTATTAAAGAAGAGAAATGTGGTAGTTTTCAAATGCCACGTAATGCTCCAGAGAAACCAAAATTTCAAATAGAATATCATTTTAAAGAAGGACTTCGACGGAAAGTGCATGATTTCTTCTTTAGACAAGAATTTCCAACATTGGATAAAGTTCTTGTCTCAGTTCGAGATGATAAGGATTACTAAGAAATGAGTCGAAGTACGTTATGGAAACTTTTAAAAGAAATAGGCTTCCGCTGGAAAAAGAATCCCAGAAAGTCTATTTTATTAGAAAGAAGCGATATTGTCATATGGAGAAGACATTTTCTAAGAACCATAAAGGAAATGAAAAACCAAAAAAGAAAAATATTTTATCTTGATGAAACATGGATCAATGAGGGTCATACACCAAATAAATTTTGGCAGGATGAAACTGTTACAAGTCAAAGGCACGCTTTTGTAAATAACTTATCTACTGGTTTAAACCCACCATCAGGAATGGGACGCAGGCTGATAATAGTACACATTGGCAGTTCAGACGGTTTTGTTGAAGGTGGTTTATTAACTTTTGAATCAACTCGTACCGGTGACTACCATTGAAGACATGAAGGCTGATGTCTTTCAAGAATGGTTCAAACAAATGATAGATCTTCTTCCTAAGAACTGTGTAATAGTAATGGATAATGCAAGTTATCACTCCAGACTTATAGAAGAACTGCCCACAACCAAGTGGTTAAAAAAAGACTTGCAGAATTGGCTGAGTTCAAAAAATATTACGTACCATCCCGGATCTATAAGAAAGGAACTTTATTCGTTGTGTGCCCTTCATAAAGAAAAATTTAAAAAATACGAAATTGATGAAATTGCCAAAAATCGTGGAATGACGGTACTTAGATCCCCACCATATCATTGTGAATTAAACCCGATTGAACTGGTATGGGCACAGATAAAGAGTGAAGTTTCAAGAAAAAATACCACTTTTAAAATTCATGATGTTAAACAGTTGTTTTTGGAGGCCGTAAATAATGTAAAACCTGAAAACTGGGAAAAGACAGTAAATCACACTATTAAAGAAGAGGAAAAAATGTGGAAGCTGGACAATATTAATGATAAAATGATCGAGCCAGTTATTATAAATCTTGGTTCTGAAAGTTCATCTTCTGAATCTGATTTGGATTTGTAACAAGTAGTTGTAAGTTTTATATTAATATTTTTATTCATCTATTTAACATACCTTAGACGGTTTTAAAAACTCTTTTTCTCTTTTGTAATTTTTAAAAATTAAAAAAAATGTGAATTTTTTAAAACCCTTTTTAATGTAGGCTAGTCAGTTCTAATATAGTGTGTGATAAAAGAGGTCACTTTTGTTTACATACACATAACACTTTATAACACTGAAATAATTCATTTATTTTTTACAATTATTCAAAGTAATTTTTCAATTAATCTTGAGCACGCCCATGGAGTGGTCGAAGGTACGAGTTAAAATTATACTAATTACTCTTTCGTTCATAAAAATAAACTATAACAGGAGAGTTTTACTGTCACCATGGCATGTATTTGTCTTTTTAAAGATGAATTATATACTATAATTTTTTTCTGATGCATATTCTCAAGTTAAAGTTGATTTCATGTAATCGAATGATCTTACAAGTAAAGTCGTCCCAGAAACGCAACTCAACAATATTGGCAATATGTATATCTGAATTGTCAATATAAATGAGTCAGACAAAATTAAATTATTAGAAGAATTTTTTCACCAAGTAACAAAAAAAGAAAATTTGTTTAATTTACTAATGTTTGTATTTTGAGAACGATTTCCAAAGTGAAAACTAAAACGTCTATAAACGTACTTTAACCTTTAATTGTGGCTTATTCCCATTTAAATAGTAATTATTTTAATTCATGTAAAAATATCAACATTTCGAATAAAAAAAAATTACAATACTTTTGTAAACCTATTTTACAATATTTAACTTAAAATTGTTAATAGCTTAGTTTAAGAATAATAAGAGTGTCTTAGGAAAATCGTTACTTTCCTCGTCTATATCCATAATATGTATGCTGTCATCAATAATACACTATAAATATTAATAATATAGTGAAAGTACATTCTTAAAATTATCATTTCTTTAATATCTCAGCAAAAGTGTACTTACTTTCATCATGTAGTATTTGATCGCTAACGGTTGAATTGTCTCTTGGAAGTGATTTACAGTTTGTGTTATAATCAGCATTGTTTGTAACTGGCTCTTGAGATTTTCCATATCTTTAGTAATAAATGCAATATAAAATAGTGACATAAAATTATTAACGAATTCAAATAAAACTAATTTTGTTACTCGGTGTCGCTCAAATTGGGACTGAGTGCGGTGGTTTTCTGAAAAAAAATCTTTAGATTAGGACTAAACAAACATATCATTTTTTTTTCACAAGTTTTCATAAACGTAATATATACTTTTCATAATGAAAGTGGGAATACCGCAAACTTGCATTAGACCAACAAACTTTCAAAATAAAGAACACAATAAAATGTGAATCATAAGATAATTAGCCAATGAGCCATGCTCTGAAAGTTTTTCTGAATATAATTCATTCATGAATTTTCAAGAATCTTGATTTGGCTATAACAGACACACATTCCGAGTTTCGAAAAGATTTAAGCACCAAATAAGGATTATTTAGTATAAAATTTCTAATCCAAAGACCACGCAGATATAACAGTATTTCTATAGATGCAGCGCCAAATATTCTGAAAACAATATCCAGAAACACTGCTTATCTCTCACTAAACATCAAATGTCTAGCAGTTAATTCATATTCTAAAATCAATTCCACCGGTAAACAAATGGTGTCCCAATGGGCTCCCTACTCTCTATAGTAATTGCCAATAACTTCATCATAGACTTATAGACCCAAACACTATCAGTATCAATACGTAAGCCCATATGTTGACTACGATATGTTGATAATATGTTGCTCCCATGGCATGGATGCTTGCCAGTGCTCTATCTAGAATAACCAATCCTAACGTTTTCGTTACTTAGTTTACCGAAAACACACCCACAGCAATCACTACTTACATGCCAACTCCCATCACTGACCTTCACAAATTAATTATGTCGTTAATATTCTTGTTTTTAGATCAATATGCTTTTGCGATGATTCCAGTACAATAGATGAACTATTTTCTGTAAAAAAATCTTTCTACGGTAAGAGTGACCACGAAAATCATATCAATAGAAGCATTTACAGTCACCAGTCTCCTACTAAATTCCCTTCCAAAGAATCAGACCCTCATGATACAAAGGTTTTTCTTTTTTATATCAAAAATGTCACTTTCTTATAAAGAAAGCAGCTTTGCTTTATTCTGCTTCATGCTTCTAAAGCTGTTATTGATGTTGGCTGTGCAGTCACCTTCTTCTTCCTCTTCTACTTTTTGTAGATCTTTCGATCTGTTTAATTCTGAAGCTGCCTCTGGTTAATTTCTTGGGAGGTAGATTGCCAACTATCCCTCCATCTTTTAGGTGGTCTTCCGGGGGTCTTGAACCGGGCGGATTGTTTTCTAGGGCAATTTTTGGGAGTCTATTCTCATCCATTCGTCTTACATGGTTGTACAAAATCCTCTTGCGCTGCCTTCCCCATCTTACAATATCTTAAATTTTGCAATGCTCTCTAATGTTTGTATTTCTCACTCTGTCTCTTCTTGTTTTCCCCATTATTTTTCTTAGGGTTTTCATTTCGGCAACCCTTAGCATCTGTTTCGTTTTGTTGGTATCTTCGCGCACTTCTATGCCATATGTCATGATCGGTCGTATGCAAGTCTTATAGATTCTAATTTTACTATCTGTGCGCATATACGGATTTGACCAGACTATCTCCCGCAGACATCCGGACAGTGCAGATGCTTTGTTGATCTGACTCCTCAGGTCCTTTACTGGGTCGTGGGTGCTTGATATATCTATGCCCAGATATCTGAATTGCATCACCTGTTCTTGGGGTTGTCCTCAACCACTAAATTACATCTGAGCGGATCTTTTGCTATTGTCACACATTTAGTTTTGTTGGTAAAGATATTCATATTTAGTAGTCGGTTTGTTTGAAAGAACTGAAAGAGCTGCCTTTGGAGATCATCTTCTGATTCGGCAATAATTGCTGCATTGTCTGCGTAACACACCATACCAATTCTTTTGTTGCCCATTCTATATCCGAGATTAAGAGATGTTACTTTGTTGATAATTTTGTCCATGAGAAGATTAAACAAGAAGGGGCTTAAACTGTCGCCTTGTCTAATTCCTCCCGATGTTGGAATATTTTCAGTGAATTCGTCTCCTGCTCTAACTTTGGTTACGTTGTTGTTATTTAGGTTATGGAGTATCTTTGTTATACTGGTCGGTGTTTCATTTTCTATTAATATATTTAGAATGTCTCCCAGGCGAACTCTGTCAAATGCCTTCGTCAAATCAATGAAGCAAATATACGCTGGCATGCCGAACTCTATAGCTTTTTCTTTTATTTGTTTTATTACAAATACTGCGTCTGTTATAGATCGCCCTTTTGTAAAACCTTGTTGTTCTTCAGCATTAGTGATTTGCTTTTCCAATTTGTCCTTGAGAATACCGTGAAAAGTTTCATTGTTGAATTTAAGAGGGTTATTCCTCTATAGTTTTGTGGGCAGATTTTTTGTCCTTTTTTAAATATGGGGATTGTGATACTATTATGCCATTCCTCTGGTGTTTCTGTTTTGTTTAATATTTTGTTAAATAGTTGTGCCAGTTTACTTGCAAGTTCCGGGCCTTCATATTTTAAAAGTTCATTGGGTATACCATCCGTTCCCGGTGATTTTCTGTTTTTTAGCTTTTTGATCTTTGCTTCTACTTCTTCGTCATTGATTGTAGCACTCACATCTGTTTCGCCTTCGTTTATATTCAGCGTTTCTTCAGCATCATATAGCTCTTTAAAATGCTGTTGCCATGTCTCTATAGGTACTCCTTTGGTATGCACGAACTCGTTAACTGGTTTTTTCCTGTTGCGGAGCATTTTCCATACTTTCTTTTGGGCACCATATAGGTCGTAGTCCATGTCGCAAGTGAATTTGGCATAATGTTCTCTTTTGATTAATTTTATTCTGGCGTTTACTTCGTTTCTTATTTGGACATATTCTGCATAAGCTTCTTCCGATTGCGTGCTTTTATATCTCAGGTAGCATTTGCGTTTTAATTCAGAGAGTTTTTTTACCTCTTGGCAAAACCACGGTTTGGTGTGGTTTGTCGCTCTCGTGTTAATTTTCCGCTTTCCAATCGCTTCTTCTGCTGCTTCGTTGATGCATTTCTTAATTTTTTGCTTCTATGATACTAGAAAGTATCTTCTACTCCCCATTCGGGTTTTAAGCAGTCCCCACTAAACATAAACCAATAAGATCATATCGGTTTACACAAAATCTCTTTGTAACGATGTAACAGTCTCTCCTATATAGCTACCTGTGTATATTGTATACTGAAATTACTGGTTATGAAATAGCAGATTATTTTGTCAAAGAAGCTACCAACTATAGAGTACTGGAATAACCATAGTTTAACTAGCTAATGATCTGAAACTCGTTTTCAAAAAGTCAGTGGAGGATACTTGGCAAAACTTAGGGCAAAACAGCAAAGCAGCCTTTTATGATCTCCAACCGTTATTGGTTGGAGATCAAAATCCCCAAAGATCCCCAAAGACTTCTTAACTAGAAGAGAAGCATCGATTGTTAGAAAACTCTCAAATTAACCACACCAAACGAACCCATCCTTTTTTAATGGCCTCAGTAACTCTTCCAATTTGTCACCATTGAAATGTTTACCTAACCGTGAAACACATCCTCACCGACTGCAAATCATTCACCAACTTTCACCAAGTCAGACAACGCTACAGAGATTACTAAAATCTTTAATGCTTCTAAAAAATATTCAGCTTTACCACAAGATTTAATCTTATAGACATTAGTTAAAGTGATATAATTATTATGTGTTTCGTTATTTAATAGATATCTAATAGTGTTCCTGTATGAATGGCCATAGTTATCGAGGTACTTTATGTAAATAAATAAATAAAAAATTCTTCTTGAAGCTACTTTTCAAATACAAATACCTTAGTATATATTTATTCAAGGCATATTTTACACTTTTTACACCATCCGTTTCATTGTCTAATATCTTCGATGGTGCGTACAATAAACATTCCCCCAAAACCGCTTCCAAGCGCTCTGTATATGCTTTTTTCCAAATGCGTGTGTTTTTCTATAAAAAATTCATACCACGGCAAACATGCATTTCTCACTCGACAAAATGGCAAAATTTTAAAAGAAATGTTTACGTTACTTCACAATTGTATCCAACATTCCCCTTTGGAGTTCACGCCGGAGATTTTATAGTAAATTATGTACGAGTTTGATTTCGAATGAAATATGTTTCGGGGAAAGAATTGACAAAGAAAAATTTACCGAAAGTTGCGGGCTCTAAAATACAGAGCGAATTTGTACCTAAGATAATATTAAAATTTATTAATCTCTAATTTACAGGAGAAAGAATTATAAAGATGGAAGACGAAAATGTTGAGAGCTATATAATATGAACGTCCAAATACGGTAAAGAGTTGGAGAAAAACAAGTCAAAAATAAGATCAATGTAGAATGAGTCTAAAGTAAGAAAATACAAAGAAAATAGAATAAAATGGATATTTATGATGTACTACAGTCTTCGAATATAATAGACCCCTGATACTTGTCTCTGTCGACTTTGAAAAAGCATTTGATACGGTCAATCAAAGTGAAATGCTCTCAGCTCTAAAACAATGTATAGATCACCGATACATATCCTTCATCAGATACATCTATCAGCATGCTACAGCCTGTGTAAGACTTAGCGAAGATACTGGGACCTTTCGTATTGAAACAGGCGTTCGACAAGGAGACAACATGTCTCCTAAATTATTTACAACTTTGCTAGAATACGCTTGTAAAACAATAGATTGAAACGAAAAGGACATCAATGTAGATGAAAAATTTTTAAGTAACCTTAAATTTCCAGATGATATCGTTCTTATTGCCCGCTTTGATCAGGCACGGATAATGCTCCAAGAACTCCATACTGCCACAAAAAGAGTTGGTCTTAAACAAAAACATCTCAGTAGAAGACAAACATATTGAGCCAGTTTATTCCTATAAATAATTGGGCCATGAGATCAGAATAAGTCGAGACATCCAAACAATCGAACTGAAAAGAAGAATAAACCTCGCTTGGGCTGCATTTGGAAAGAAGAAGGATGTTTTTAGGTCTAAGATTCCAATGTGTCTAACGGTTATTATTTTAGGGCATAATATCACATATTAGACAATTTTGTCCAAGTTCACTCGTAATCTTTATTGTTTTTAATTCGTTTCGATATTATATTTTTTTTGTAACCTTTTAATTAAATAAATTATGCTAAGGAAGCAAGCAGTAATGGCCATTTTTTGTTTTAAAAATGAAATATGTTGAGTAAACAATATGAAACAGTCCAAAAAGTTCCAATAAACTTTGTATTTTCGGAAATTGGTAGGGTGGTTATTTTTTTGCCGGTCAGTGTATAAAAGAATAGTTGTACCTATCGTTATAATAACATAATGTTTACAGTAAACATAATAATACAGATACTATATTGCTACCAAATTTCTGACACTGCTAATGACTTTTAAGCTTATTAGGTGTTTGATTTCAATTGTTTGAGAATCATCTGCTGTTTATTAGTAAATGATCATTTCTCTTAAGGGTAAACTCTCTCTCTCTCTCTCTCTCTCTCTCTCTCTCTCTCTCTCTCTCTCTCTCTCTCTCTCTCTAAGATTTTGCGGTAAAATTACTCATTAGTATTTGCTTAAAAAACAATGCATACCTTTATTGTCTTTTTTTATTATTAAACAAATTCTTTTTACCTATAATTTAGAACATTTATCGGCAAAAATAGTTAAAATCATCAAAGCTTGAAATATCAAAAAAGCTTCCTTAAATAACCCCGTATACCAAATGATTGACGTGGCGATTTTATTCTGAGAAGGTGTGAGTGTCACGAACCTTTTAGAAGTTTAAATTTGCCGATGGATTTGACAAGCCTTTTCCATATCTGTTTTCGGATTACTTATATTTCTGAACTTTTTGTATCGCCTCAGGTTCAGTGGTGATTTTAGAAAGTCGATATTGGCCGTATAAAATAAAAAACTTTTATTTTTACAGCTCGAAGAAGAGTATAAAAATGGATCTATATGGATGGCAAGATGTTAAAAATGGCGCTGAGAATAAAACAACATGAGCGGATTGCCATTGTTAACATTGAATGTACAATGTTGAATTTTGCTATTTTTTTGCATAGATGCTGATTAATTGTGTTTAGAAAAGTATTTAGTGCTTATTTAAATATTTCATTTTTATTATTATTCATATTTTGATTCACATTAACTTACTTATGCCTAAATATTTAAACTCCAACAAATTAATTTAGTTATTAATAATAAAATATTTATCAATAGCAGTGCCGGCTGGTGACTCAAAAATTTGGTAGTTCTGCAGTATTTTTTGTTTTTTTTTTAATTCAATATCTTTTAATCGTTGTATTTTACAACGAGGCTTTTAGTTTCATATTTTACACCATATATTTATTCATTATATATCTATTAAAAAATAATAAAGAACCTACCGATTTTCTTCTTTTCAAATTGAAGATAAATCCAATTATATCAAAAATAGCAATGGTACATTATGGCACACTAGTAATTGTTTTATAGTTTATGTTTTTAAAAAAAATCCACAATTCCTGTAGCTGGCTGTATACCATGTATCACAAAAAAAGACGTTAGTCTTCGTAAGTGGGTATATTTATTTAAAAACCCTTAAAAGTGCTACATAAAAAAAACAAACGTTTTCGAACTAAACAGTTCATCATCAGGTTTAAAATCGCCTAAAATAAGTATAAACCATTTAGTTAAAACAAACGTGGTTATGAAATTTTAATTATGGTTAAAAAAGCAAAATGGCTATACTTACTATGGCATGGCATGGCATTTTAACCTAGTAAGTATAGCCATTTTGCTTTTTTAACCATAATCAAAATTTCATAACCACGTTTGTTTTAACTAAATGGTTTATACTTATTTTAGACGATTTTAAACCTGATGATGGACTGTTTAGTTCGAAAACGTTTGTTTTTTTGATGGAGCCCTTTTAAGGGTTTTTAAATAAATATACCCACTTACGAAGACTAACCTCTTTTTTTATGTTTTTAGTAGAATTTTATCGATAAATACGTGAAACTAAAAAATGCAAACGAAAAATTACTACAAACAAAATCGCCACAACAATAATTGCATTATAGGGTCTTACGAACTAACTACACACAGAGCCAAATATATTATTTTTTTTTAAATAAGCTCGATTCGTCGATTTTTTTTTTAAAGCAAACTTGTCTATAACTTTTTCACTAAAGTTTGGTATTTCTTTTATAAGTGTTTTTTCTACTGACAACATGGTTAATGCTACAAGTCGGTCTTCAGTCATGGAATTTCTCAAGAATGTTTTAATCCGTTTTAAACTCGAAAAGCACCTTTCAGCTTCGGCCGTACTCATGGGCACTGTAATTAGAATTTGAAGCAGTTTTAAAGTTTCTTGAAAAGGCTCTGTTAAATTATTTTTAATTAAAAATTTTAAAAAAGGTATTGCCCCATTAATGTCTCTACAGTCTCTTCTAAAATAAATAACAGATCATTCAGTCTTCAAGCGCTCCCTATCTAAATTTGGATATGACGCGCAAGTCAGGCTTAAATTATCACCTGGGAAATTATCACAATAATTATCAAATTGCTCAGAATAAAGCAATGAAGTTGCAAGTAGGTGATTTTTAAAAGCAAATCTATCATTTGCACAATTTATGATTATATCACAAACTTCGATAGATGCTCTCCGATGATCTACTGGACTGTTATCCTTCCGTAACCTTTTAGTTGGTAATGGTTCAACGCATAAACTAGAACCTTGGTCAATGGTATCATCTATTGAATTTCTAACTGAATTCATGTATCTTTCGAAATCTGTCACCTTTTTATTGATTTCCAAAGGATCCGTTTTAGTCTTTTGAAGGGCATTATACAAAACATCTACTTGTGGCATTATGCGATGGAAAAATGTTAACCAAAAAACAAAATTTTGATCCACTAGTATTCTACGAATGGAAGACGCTGAACTACAGCTGCCTTATCAAACGATTCTTCTGTTTCTTCCATACATTCGATAAAAGAAGATCGATGTTCAAACACAACATTAACAGTTCGAATATTGAAGTTCCAACGAGTTGGAGCGCCATGAAGAATTTTCTTTTGGACGATTTTATCTAAAACTGCCACTCGTTGTAACGAATTTTTAAAAAAAGTAGAGATTTCATTTAAATTTCCAAAAAAAAAGTATAACTTGAGAGTTTTCGGAACAAGCCTTAGACATTATTAAATTTAATTGATGCGCGTAACAGTGTACAAAATGAGCAAATGGATATTTTTCTCTGATTCTGGCTTGAACTCCTGCGTGCTATCCACACATGACCGCTGCCCCATCATAACTCTGAGCAATTAGTTTCACTATGAGTTAGTTTATGAGTTAGCAGTGAAAAGTTTCACTGACAAAATAGATGAAATTTTCCAATCAAAGACAATATTTTCTCCTCACCAAAAACTTCCTTCTTTTTTTCAATCTGTCAAAGACAAAATCTCAAAAGAACAACACCAATTTTATAAAATTCTTAGTCAAACTGTCTGTAACTTTACATAAGTCAAACCAATCGAAGAATTTAGGAAACCAGGAACAATCCATTTACTCCACTAATACCATCCCCAGACACATAAACCCAGAATTATCCGAGAAGATATTCTGATCGAAAATGATCCTAATTGTTTCAAAAAAAGAAATAAGTCACACATCGAGACCTCTTCTTGTTTAAAATAAAACATTGCCTGCCAGTCAATCCAGCTCCTGATATCTTAACCGAGATAAGAGAAAAGTAAACAGTGTACTAGTTAAGTGATCTGGTGGCTCAGATGACTGATGAGGACTCCAGAGGGGGAGTCGAAAGCTCGGTGTACCTAAATTCGACATGGTTTTCCAATATTTCTCTATTTCTCCACATTTTCTGCCAGTGATGTAATGTGTTCACATCATTGTGTACACTTTGACTGCGAAAAACCTATAGTAGTGATATTTTGGTGGTCGAGATATAATAAGTAACTTCTGTGATATTTTTCAGACAAAAAAACAATTATTGACTCTGAGAATCAATAATTGTAAATTCATTGTTTGAAGTAAAGAAGAAAAAAAAATCTATATACTTACCCCATTCTGTAAGGAATGTGGCCAACCTCCTGTAATAAGCATTCATAATTAATACTACAACGGTATAAATCGTACTCGGAAGTGATACGTAAGCTTGCCATTCTTCTGATTCTTTTGCGTAGGCCTCCGCCCACAGAGATGCCAACATAATAACAAAAGCTACCGTTAAACAGACAAATACGATGGGGATCGATACAGCATACATCTAGAAACAAAAATTAAGTGCATTTTCTGTAGAAAAAAGGTAAATTTAAAGAGTAGTACTTTTCCTTTAAAAAATAAACTAAAACAACTTTTAAAATTTAGAGGACAATATTTTTGTGATGATTGTCGGAAATAACCGATACATTTATTTCAAAAGATCAAACTCTTTACCAGAGACTTTACTTTAAACCTCAAACGAGGTCTATGATGAGTAAGAAAGGTAATATAAAAGCACCTTACTTAAGAGTGTTATATACAGATAGAACGAATTTAAAACGGAACATACAATTTAATATATGTCTGTTTGAACTGCAGTTGAAATAGTGGACCAATATAAAACTTGGACAAAAATAAATCCATACCTGGATATAGACATTGTATAAAATATCGTTCAACTATCTGTCTCGCAACAATGTTGTTTGTGTAACAATGTTGCTTGTCTAAGGAAGTTTTTAATAGCAGGAAATGAAGCTCGAAAAAAGTTAAAACCTCGCAATTTTTTCGTCCTGCATGAATTGAGTTGAAATTTTAACAGAAGGTAGGTGATAGCCCAAGGATCAAAATCTATATCGAACCGAAGTGCGCTGAAGAGTTTTAGGAGTGAAAACTACCCCTCATTGTCAAAAATTATAAAATAACATATTAAACCTGAATATGGGTAAGATTTGGTTTGAATTAGTTAAATAATGATTATTTTATACTTTTGAATAGAGTTCCATCATATTTCAACCCATAAAAAGCAACCCTTGTTAGAGATTAATGTAAAAAAATTACAAATTCTAAAAAAATGATTTCGCCTTGGATCGACTTGGATGAATTTAAGCTCAATTCACCCGCTGCTTTATAGTTTATGTCATGTAGACGAACCCTGATTGTTCTTAGGGGTGAAAACTAGCCCTAATTGTCAAAAATTATAAAATAACATATTAAACCTGCATATGGGTAAAATTTGGTTTGAATTAATTAAATATTGATAGTTTCGTGCTTTTGAATAAAGTTCCATTATATTTCAACCCTTAAAAAGCGACCCTTGTTAGAGATTAATGTAAAAAAATTAGTAATGCGAAGAAAATGATTTCGCCTTGGAACGATTTGCATAAAAAATTGGAATTAAGCTTAACTCACCCTCTGCTTTATAGTTTATGTCATACCGATGAACCCTGATTGTTCTTAGGGGTGAAAACTACCCCTAATTTTCAAAAATTGTAAAATAACATTACAAATCTTAAGATGAGTAAAATTTGGTTTGAATTAATTAAATACTGATTTTTTTATACTTAATACAATAATATAAAATACAATTTCATACATTTTCAACCCTTAAAAATCAATTGTTATGAGTGCTATAGGTAAAAACAATTTTTTGCCAAAATTTTGCAACTTCTCAACTTTTGAAAATCACCCTATACAACATTGCAGTTGTAAAGGGTACAGTTTATAAATTAATTTAATAGATATAAATTGAAAAAAGTAGAATTAAATACAAAAAAATTTATCAACATAAAAAGGCACCATATATTCTTATACATTTACATAAACAGTTGAAAATATTTACATTTATAGGTAAAACAATTATAATATTAATTTTATTCGTCATCAATTACATCTTCATCGTGATCTATGTCATCCTCATCTTCTTCAATTATTGGTGGACCATTATTGCACCCTTCACCTGAGCACCCAGAACAAGTAAAGTTACAGTATAAACTAACTTTTCTGCAACCACATAAAACGCCGCATCCTTTTTTGCATTGGCAAAAAATAATTTTCAAAAGTTCATCGGGTGCAGGTTGTTTGTTCATGCGTACGGGTAATAACAAACCATCTTTGGAATACCATCCCCAGTCTGTTGCTCTGATATTTTCATTGCCAAGCCATAAACATATGAGCAAATGTTTTATTCTGTTGTATGGTATTTCAAAATAAGAACGCTTAAAATTTAGAATGTATAACGCCCCACTACCCAATATACCGGTTTTGTAGATTATTATGCTCCAAAATGTACTGTACTATACTAATGGAATTTTCCGAAAAAAAAAAATTAATTGGTTTTTTAACGTATTTCCTTCATTTTTAACGATAGAGTGTTTCCTCAAAAACGATTTTGTAGAGGTTTTTAAGAGCTACAAGGATCTGTGAATTAAATCTCTTTGGAACCCTTGGTTTTTAAATGGGGTGAGTTTAAAGGGCTCGAAAAAGATGGTGCTTGATCGTAAATCGATGCTTTAAACGGCTATATCTCGCCAAATATTCATTGTACAACAAATCTAAATAAAGGAAAATTTTAGTCATTAAAAAAGCTACAATTTAGTACATTTTTATTTCTTTCAAATATTCAGTATTTTCGGGAATATTTAAAAAAAGAAGGGTAAAAAATATGAAATTGTAAATCGTTTCTCGATTTAAGCTGTACTTTTTCTAAAACTAAGCATTTTAAATGGGTCAAACTTCTTGGACGTATTAACAATACATGTACAAAGAGAATTGCAGAAGGGTGAAGATCGATTTTAATTATGGCAGTGGTTAGGGGGTTGTTTTCATCGATTTTTTCGTAAAAAAATGAGGTATTTGCCTTATTTTTGTCATAACTCACTCAATTTTTGACCTAGAGTCTTTTTTTATGATAGATCTATTTATGCTCTTTAAAAAAGGTTGCATGAGTTTTCTTCCAGAAATGCATCATTTTCCCGATATTTGACTTTGAATCTTTCAAATTTGGCATTTGAAGAAAACCGCTGAACATTGATACGCCGTATTTCGGTTCCTATTATATCGCAAAAACATGTTAAAAAATGAATTGTATTTGTCTTTTTAAAAGCTACAAATTTGTTCTCTACAATTTTTTGATAAAATGCACCATTTTCGAGTTATTCGCGAAAAAACGATTTAAAACGTCGATTTTTTCGTCTAAAAGTTGTTACTTTCAATCGCGAATAACTTTTGATAAAAATATCAGTTTTACAAAAAAAAATGTATAGAACATTTTTTGTTTATAATCACTTTTTTAATCGAAACCTGTAATTAAAACGTAAAAAAAAAATTTCACCCCCATGGGGTGGCAACCACCCCCAAGGCTTTGGCGCACTTTGGTTCGATATAGATTTTGATCCTTTAGTAGGCTATTACCTACCTTCTGTTAAAATTTCAAGTTAATCCACGCAGGACGAAAAAATTGGTTTGTGGTTTGACAGCATAATAAATTCGTAGATTTATGTGTAGCTTTCAATTTTTAATAGTTCAGAATCCAGCAGCCTGCAGAAGTATTGGGTTTTTATAATATAATTATTTGACAACCTTTTGTTGGCCAACCTCCTACAGCAGAAATGAGCCGAAATACATGATGTTTCCTATGTTTCGAATTTATTTCGTTCAATCTGTATGGCAAAGAGAGTAATATATAAGTAAGAAATTGGAAAACTAAGACGAAGAAAAGGAAGAAATTGAAGCTAATCTTGGGGCAGATCAAGACCCATTATGAGGATCGAAAAAGCAAGGAGTGCCTTTCAACAGATGAAGAAAGTTCTCTGCAATTTAACCTTGAACTTACATCTCAGACTCAAAATCCTTAATTGTTATGTGTTTTCTGTTCTTATGTATGGAGGAGCGGCATGGATACTCACTGATGCGTCTTGCAGACGGTTGCAGTCTTGCGAGATGTAGTGCTATCGTCGCATGCTCAGAATATTATATGTACATCATATAACTAACGAAGCAGTAATGCAACGTTTACAAAAAGAATCTGAAATGTCTTGAAATCCATTAAAGAGAGAAAGTTAGCATACTTCGCACATATAGTGAGAAATGAAAATAAATACAGAATCCAACTATTGATATAAGAAGGGAAAATAGATGGAAACAGAGGACCAGGACGCCGTCGAATATCCTGGCTTAAGAATTTGAGACAGTGGACAGGTATGACCACCACAGACCTATTTCGAACAACTACTAATGAAATACGATGGGTTATTGTGGTAGCCAACATCCATAGAGGATGGGCACTAGCAGAAGAAGAACTACGTGACCTCGAAAGAAAATAAACAATGAAATCAAGTAGTCGGCAGTATTTCAAAATAGAAACAAAACTAAAATGCTTATCTGTTGATAAAAAAGATATAAGGTAAGGATATGGTTATCTGTGGGAGAAAAACAAATAATCCAGTCGGTATATTATGTATAAGGGATTATGTATGTGACAAAAGTATTAGTTGCTACGGTTTTTCTAATAACTCAAGTTCCTTTTCACAAAGAATGTTCAAAAATAACATTGAGCAATAATAAAAAAACCTAAAGACGAGCAAAATTAACTAATTTTATTTTAGAAACAAAATGAACACGTTGAAAGAAATAATGCAGATAATACGCGTTTTGTTATATTTCCAGTAAACCATTAACACAAACATTTAAAAGAATATTATGATACATACCTTGACATATGTTAAATATCGGGGAGCTTGAGGTTGAACTTTACCGGTTATTGAGTCTACACCCATAGCTCCTCGAAAGTTAGGTCTGGGTTCGTCCATACTGGTCATACCGATCGTACCCCATTTATAAGCATATTCGTTGCTTTTTCTTCTCCATATCTGAAACAATATAAATTTACGGTATTTATTATTATTTTCATCTAATTATCTTCGTATTTTTTATCATTTTCTTCTTAATTAAATTGAAAAATTAACAAGACTACGATCAGAACCACTGATGGACTATAACTATCTTCTTTATTTTCTTTCAACAATATGTTTACAACGTTTCTTTTATCCAGCCCGAAACCCATTCCCCTCTCGAAATCTCCCCTCTCATTTTCCCATCTCTGGTATTTAAAAATATGGGCGTGAGCGTCCGGTACCTCACAAACAGTACAGTCTGCTGAGGCAGATTTGCCTATTTTATTTATGAAGGTGACAAAACTATCATGTCCGGTCAGAAACTTCGTCAGGAAGTAGTCTAGTTTCGTGAACTTACAGTCCCACCACGGCCTCTGATCGGGAATAAGCTCCTTCATCCACCATACCTTTCCGCTATCATTCGCCCATTTTCTCTGCCACTCTACTATCGTTCTTTCTCTCTCATTCTCGTTTATATTTACATCCATCCTCCTCGCATACACTATTGTTTGCTCTTTGCACAACAAAACAATCGGTATCAGCGCTCCAATGACATATAGAGCCTCATTTCAAACTCTCCTATATGCGCTAGATACCCTGGGGAGCATTCGCTTTTGCGAGGTCTCCATTAACTTAGCGTATTTCGCAGTGTTTAGTACGCTACACCACACGGGGGCAGAGTAGGTTACCACCGACTGGAAAACTACATTTTATACCTTTCGTTTGGTGCTACCTGGGCCTCCAATATTTGGCATTAGCAGTATCAATGATTTTTTCGCCGAAGAGAGGATTTTTCCCGGCTCCCCTTGAGAACTAACACCTCAGTTTTCTAAGGCGCTAGCTGTAGATCGTTTTCTCTGATCCTATTAATGGCCGTATGATTGTTTTAATCCTATTAAAACAATCATACGACCCGTTGTGATGTATGGAAGCGAAACGTGGACGATAACAAAGGTAAATGAAGAGAGACTACGTGTTTGGGAAAGAAAAATCCTAAGGAAGATCTTTGGTCCGGTGCTTGATGAAGCATCAGGACAATATAGGATAAGAACTAATAAAGAGCTTGAAGAACTTTACCCAGACGCCAACATCATAAAAGAAAGTCCAGAAGACTCCAATGGGCAGGACACCTCAAAAGACATTCTGACGAACGAACAGTAAGACTGGTGTGGGAGGAAGTCCCAACTGGAAGGAGACCACGCGGACGCCCTCGTCTCCGGTGGCGAGATAATATAGCAGGAGACCTAAGCACTATGGGCGTGGAGTATTGGATGGAGGTTACTCAAGACAGAAAACAGTGGAGGCATGTTGTCGAGTCGGCTAAAACCCACGAAGGGTTGTAACGCCACGGAGTAAGTAAGTAAGTATTAATGCGACGCAGGGCTGTGTTGGTCGCATTAGCCATGTCCGTTTTCTGACTCGCCTTCAGAACCAGTGCGAAATCATTGGCATAAGCTAGAAGAGTGTATCCCCTTGGCACCTGTAGCCTCAACACCCCGTCGTACAGGACATTCCACAGGATGGGACCTAGCACTGAACCCTGCTAAACACCCTGTGACATACTGATGCTGGTATCTTTTTCTCCTATGGACCGGTCAGTAAAGTATCTGTCAATTACATTGACCAGGTAGTCACTAACGTGCAATTCTCCCAGCCTGGACATGATTTTCCCCATGATACCGTATTAAAGGCATTCTTGACGTCAAGCAAGATGAGAGCCACTCATCTCTTTGTATCCTGCATAACTAAAGAATATTCTGTGTATTCTGTGTATACTTTGTATTTTGTGACCGCATCAATTGTAGACCTTTTGGCCTCAAAACCATATTGGCGGTTGCTCAGCGTATGCTTTTCTTCCAACTCTCACTCAAGGCGGCCTGTTACAAGCTGTTCGTACAATTTAGCTATCGAACTAAGAAGGAAAATGGGCCGAAATCGTACCTCTTCCTCTTTATCCCTACCTTTCAGAAAAAGGACGACCTTAACTTCTTTCGACATTGTTGGAAACTGCTGTTGTTCAAGCAGTTTGTTTAGCAATCTCAGGAAAACCTGTGGGTATCTTAGTGCGCCAAGTCTTAGGCGCGCCGCACATTCAGACGCAGGTGACGCAGGCAAAGCAGCGTAGGACAGCACAGGTTTCTGTTTGCCGTACAATTACATTACCCCGCGCGAATTGGAATGCAGGGCAGGACAGCACAGAACTGTGTCTAAGAAAACCTGCCAGCGCAGTCGTCCGGACACAGATTCCTGTGCCACGTGCAGAGCAGTTTTTTGTTTTTAGTAAAATTTTGTGTGGTTATATTCGAAATGAATGAACAATTAATCGAATTGGTGAGAAGCCAGACAAATCTTTACGATACCAACGATCCCAATTATTTAAAAGCTAAATTGAAGGATGAATTATGGAATGAAATAGGAAAAAAACTAAATTTAAAAAGCGGTAAGTTAAACAAATACTTTTAATTATATTAATTATATCAGAGTAGTAAGTAGGTACATAGCTACGTTATTGTTAAGGGCATAGGCGCAAAAGTCGCCTGTCAAAATGTTAAATGTTAAATTAGGCTTCGTAACTGCCACCGCGATGCACTGCGAAGACAGAAAAAGTGTCTTAAAAGCGGAGCTGCTGCTGTCATCATAAAAAATGGAAATTTCAAAGACAGATGGATTTTTTGAATCCATATATGCCCAACAGACCACGTGAAGGTAATTTACAAGGAGATAGTGAAGATTCTTCTTCTAGTTCCATGACCGTTATCGATCGTTGGATATCATGTTGGCTACCATATTCGCTATCGTGACTTTATTGACAGCAGCTCTAAATAGTGAAGATGAAGACTCACAAAAGGAAGACTCCATAGTTGATCCAGAGAGTGAAATTTTTGACTAGGTGACCAGCGACATTCGACATGATACCGAAGAAATCGAGAGTGTTAAAAATGAGATTGTTAATGGGCCGTATACGTCTGGTATTGTTATACAAAAAAATAACGAAAAAAAAAATGCCAAACGTAAGGCAACTGAAGACCAATCAATTACAACCAAAGCAGCTAAAAATAAGAAACCTAAAAATAATGATATACAGGAAGTGATAAACAAAAAAGGGCAGAAGAAAGAGTAGTTGAAAGGGCAGCACAGAAGCCTTTGGATGATGATCTCTATCATTTTTATATGTCGATGTACAACATAACCAAAAAAATGCCTCCTAAATTTCAACATCGTGCAAGAAATAATGTGTTCCAAACTATATCGCAGCTCGAAGCTGCAGATCTAGAAATTCATGATCCCAGTCAAGAAAACTACACTTATAGTGAACAAAGAGTTTTTACAAGTGCATATGTTAATACCCATATTCAGCAGCCCCATTACTCGTCAACACCTCTTCCATCACCAAGTTCCAGTCACAGTAGCCAGCATACTAAGAATCAACATTGTAATAATCCTCTAGCTCCTATTCCCAACAACTATTTTTTATGCTCAAATGATTACAACTCTAGAAGCACCAGTAATTATTCATCTACTACACTCACCCCCAGGTTGCCTGCTGAGACATCTCCTCAAACCGCTGATACCGGTAATATTCGTAATTTTGTGGAAAAGTATAGAGTATAGATTTATGATTGTTTAAAATGATATTTTTGTATTTTTTAATAAAACAAAATTAATAAAAATAATACTTTAAAAAAACAGCTAGTTTTTTTTGGTTCCTATTGGTTTTTGGGCATTACAAGCATCTGAATAAATACTGTTTTCCATTATATTATGTACTTCATCAACTGGTTTTCTGCTTAACCGAAAATAATTTAAATAACGAGACTCAGAGAATTCTGATGATAGTGAAAATTCCCCATGAGTATTTCTCATTTTCCTATAGTTGCTTTTCCAAAATGATTTTTTTCTCTTTGACATGTTGAATAATATAACTGTTTCTTCAAATTCTGTGTCTGACTCTGATTCGGAACTGTCCAGAAATAACGCCATTATTTTTAAATTATAAAATTCTCTTTCTATGTTCATATAATATATTCGATATTAGCACCTCAAAATTTTCGAGAAGACTGCTTCCAAATATGCGCTCACACTGCGTGACACGTATAATTTCTGACCTGTGTAGCCTACCCTGCACTGCGTCACCTGCGTCCCAATGTGCTTCTCACTTTACTGTCTTCGGCATGACTCCATCTATGCAAAGTGCCTTTCGGATCTTCATCCGTCCAACAGCCTTACCGGTGCGTCACCGGTTCCAATTCAGTAAAAGGTTCCGCATCTACGAAACCAATAACCCTTTTACGTCTATCCTCCAGCTGAGGAAAGAGTTCCCGTATTAAACGAAGTTTCTCTTCCTCGGGCAAGGGGTAGTGTGTCTTCTTCCCCTTCAATTCGGTACAGATAATCTTGAAGCCCTATTCCCAGATATCCCTTTCGAGATCCTGAAGCAGGTTACTCCACGTTTCTTTCTTAGATCTTCTTATCTCATTTCTGTATTTCTTCTGCATTCGTTTTAATTCATTTATTCTCTCTTCAAAATATCCTGCTTGTACTCTTACTCTAACGTCTTACACTCCATCTTTACTCTCATGAAATTTGTGCAAAAGAGAAATGAGAGCAAATATGCGCAATTCCGGTCTCTAATTATAACTGAATCCCGAGTTCCTCTTAGATCGTATTTACCAATTCTTCTATAGATTTAAAATATTTTTAATGGCAATTGATAAATAACTGAAAACAAATAAAATAGAAAGTAATAAAGGCAGATTGAAATTAAATATCAAAACGTTAATTATATCTATAATTCATAAATAGAACTTGTAATTTTATTTTTAAGTTGATATTGCCGCTTTTGTCATGTTATATCTTGTTTAATAGGATATACTTTGATCGTAAAATATTGATACACAATTTTAAAACAGTTAATAACAAGTTTTCATTTCAAAATTGAGAATGATTAATGGTTTTTTCATTCTACGCAACGAGCA